GGCTCTCCACCTGTCTTCAAGGCACGGTACGTTGCTCGTGGCTTCAGTCAGCGGCAGGGAGTTGACTACTTTCAGACCTTCTCTCCCACCCCGAAGATGACTACTCTTCGGGTGCTGCTGCACATAGCCGCTCAGCGCGACTACGAGCTTCACTCTCTCGACTTCAGCACTGCGTTCTTGCAGGGTAGCCTGCACGAGGAGATCTGGCTTCGCCGTCCACCTGGCTTCACTGGGACTTTCCCTCCTGGCACCCAGTGGAGCCTCCGACGGCCAGTCTACGGTCTCCGCCAGGCACCGCGTGAGTGGCACGACACACTGAGGACTACGCTTGCGGCTCTTGGGTTTGCTCCTTCTACTGCTGACCCGTCGCTGTTTCTTCGCACCGACACTTCCCTGCCGCCGTTCTACATCCTCGTGTACGTCGACGACTTGGTCTTTGCCACAGCGGACACTGCTGGACTCGCCTACGTGAAGTCCGAGCTGCTGAAGAGACACACGTGCACAGACCTGGGTGAACTGCGCAGCTACCTTGGCTTGCAGATCACTCGGGACAGAGCACGCCGCACCATTACCTTGACTCAGTCACACATGGTGCAGCAGGTCCTTCAGCGCTTCGGCTTCACGTACTCCTCGCCTCAGGCCACTCCTCTGCCTACTCGCCACTCACTCTCAGCTCTGCCTTCGGATGAGTCCGTAGAGTCGAGTGGTCCGTATGCAGAGCTTGTTGGCTGCCTCATGTACCTGATGACCTGCACACGACCTGACCTTGCATACCCTCTGAGCATTCTTGCACGCTATGTTGCTCCTGGGAGACACAGACCAGAGCACATGGCTGCAGCGAAGAGGGTATTGCGCTACCTGTGCAGTACGTCGGGCATGGGGCTAGTGCTTGGAGGGCGGAGTCCAGTGGTCCTTACCGGCCACGCGGACGCTTCTTGGGCTGACGACCAGGCTACGCAGCGGTCGTCACAGGGTTACACCTTCAGCCTTGGTTCCGGCTCTGTCTCGTGGCGGTCTACTCGCTCGTCTTCGGTTCTCGGCTCCAGTTGTGAGGCTGAGATCTACGCCGGGGCCATGGCTGCACAGGAGCTTCGCTGGCTCACCTACCTGCTGACTGACCTTGGAGAGCCGCCTCGTTCTCCTCCAGTGCTGTACGTAGACAACAAGGCCATGCTGGCCTTGTGTCGAGAGCAGCGCTTGGAGCACAGAACGAAGCACATTGCTCTCCGCTACTTCCTTGCTCGTGAGCTGCAGCAGCGTGGTCAGTTGCGACTTGCGTACGTGGCCTCTGAGGCCAACACTGCTGATGTGTTCACCAAGGCACTTGCGCCTTGTGACCATCTGCGCTTTTGTACCCAGCTGGGTCTTGTGCCTGTCTTGCCTCACTTGCTCTCCTCTTGACTTTATTTGTACTGTGACATATATATACCTGCTCTTGCTTGTCTTGCTTTGTATATATGTCTGTACTCTTGCATGTGAACTGGCCTTTGGCCTTGCTCTTGTGCTCGGACTGTGTGGTGACTTTGTGATCCACCCTGAGCTTTGTTTTGCTTTGCTTGACTGGTCTTGTGACCCCTTGTTCTCCCCCACTTTGCCTATGGGGGTGTGTCAGAACATATATACAGCTTATACTATTGTGTAGGCTGTAGTGGGGTATCCCATAGGGGGTACAACCCAGTTAGGGTTTCCTATTTGTACTGTTTTCATTCCATAGTCAACCATTCCTGTTTTCCTTGTTTCACATAGTTTACTCCAGCAAGAGCTACCCTGTTCTCAACCTGTGTCTCTGCTCAATCTCGGTGCGTCGTCTTACGTAGGAAGTTATGAGCGCGGTGATGTGATACCAACGCTACACTACACGCTGCTGGCGAGTCGCAGCTCTCAGCACAATAGCGTTGAAGCTGTCGCTTCGCTACATGTTCCTGGCAAGAATCGCGGCATTGGGCGCGTTGGCGTGAAGGATCGACTGCGCTACCTGCTGCTAGCGCAGGTTGGTGCAAGGCGCACGTTCTGCTGCTGCTGCTTCTGCTAGCTGGATTCGCGACTGGCGTGACTGAGTTTGGCGCACGGTCGCTGTCAGTAAGACCCGCTCTATGCTGTTGATCTGCAGTTGCTTGTGCTTTTAACATCTGACCCTTTTTTTGTTGCAGACTCCAAGCAAAGGTCCCTCAGAAATTTTCCAGGTGTTATCCACACAAACGATTTAGCGTCATTTTTGTTTTTTTTTCGTTTTTATGCGCTACAGTTTAGTTTCACTTCTGATGCATTTCTGATAGCTGTTTGGTGCAGGTTTTATTTATTGAGTGAGGTAGGTGGGTGTCTCTGCCGTTGCATGACATTTTCGACTGAAGTGTGTTCGTTTCCATTCTCAGGAAGTTTAGTGCTGATTTGTGCGTTGTGCATTCAGCAAAGTTACGGTAGTAGAGCCTCTGTTATGTTTATTGAAAGTGTATGTGCATCTTCAATATAAGATTTTCCAACATCCAATGTCCCTAGCAAAACATCCTAACACATTTGGTAGTGATCCGTATGGTTTTCATGAGTTTTTTTTATGCTAATTGTTTGTTCCAATTTTATGCAAAATGCTATGTATTTGGTTGTAGTTTGCATAATAAAAAAATACAGATTATTTGATGGCTAGTATGGAACTGTAAAGAGATGGTGAAACATATGCATACTAAAGAGCAAGTTTTTGTTAGTGCAAATGGTATGTTTTTGGTATGCATTGGTGCTCTACCGTTTATATACTAAACTAACCATACTAAATACCTACGGCGCATGCTGCTTTATGGTACCCGTAATGACCCATACTTTTTGCATACTGTAGGGTATGTTGCTACTATATGTACCGTATGTAAAACGATTCATGATTTTTGAGATGTCGTTGAGGGAAACTCTTACTATCAAGTAAAGGCGTGGGTTGTTAGGCTGGCTGCATAAATAAATATAGTGGTGTTCCGTTGCCGCATAGCATGCGGCAACAGACCCACAAGCTTGCCGCCATCATGAAGCTTCCAACCATTACATAATTCCACCGGTTCCACGACGTTTCGCCATCGACGAGCAGACCAATTGCCGTGGTCCCAGTGGCCATTGTCGGCCCAAAGCAATTGCCGTATACTACGGAGATGTTGAGTTCGCTTCGCTTGCGTAGGTTATTTCTGTTTCCCATTCAGAAACTCCGTTGTCGATCTGAGTGCTGTTGTACAGCTGAGGCAATCACAAATCACTTTCAGTGAACCACACGTGACATGTAAGGCGGAATCCATCCAAACACCCTCGACACATTTTCCCAATAACCCATCCAAACCACTCAACTCCTCCAAAGCTTATTCCAACCACTCAAGTTACAAACTCCTTTTTCCAACTCATCTTCTCCAAATCAAGCCTATCAACCACCTCTTTAACTACTCCCAACCACCATAGACTTTCCTAGTCCAAGTCAACCAATATTCAAACCAACTTCCCATACTCATCCTCAAGTCCCACCATAAGGCACATGACTCCTCATGATTTTCCATGTGCCTTCCATTCCTACTAATTAAAGTTTACCCAAATCATCTAACTCCTCCAATTATCCTCCTCCCATGTGCCTTCAAGCATATGCTTCCACTTCCTAGTCATCAACCTCCACATGCCTCTCATTTATTCCTTCCTTCCTTCCTTTCCCAAGTCACCAAAGTTGCCACCTCATCCCTAAGAAATTCATGATTATCCCATCATCTCCTATTACAAGGCAACAAAGCTCATCATCTCCTCCACTCATCCTTATCCAACTCACTAAGCTCTCTTTCAACTCAACAAGGCTTACATCTCCAACTCATCAAGTGCTCAACCACCATCACATGCTCCAATACTATTCATCTACATCAAGCATCTCTACAACTTCTCAAAAAGGTTCTTCAATGACAACAATGCATTCCAAGATTCTTCACCAAGCTCATTTCCAAGCTTCTCCTTCAAGCTCCTCTTCTACTACAAAGGGTCCTCACTAGCAACCAAGTTCAATGTCTCCAAAGTTGATATTCTCATGCTACTCCCTTCCAAGGCTACCATTGATGGTTACTCTCTCTATTCATTCCTATGTATCCCTCATGGATCTATAAGGCTTGTACTATACCTCTTTCAATATAAGTTTATGCTCATAAAGTTCCTTTCTACATAGACTACAAAGTAGCTATCAAGTGAAGAGTCGCTTACCTCATACTCTACGAGAGTATAAGGAAGCTCCAAGCTACAAGCTAAAGGAAGGACCATCATCCTACCCAAGGCTTGAAGTTACTCCCAAGTAAAGCTCTCTCAAGCTCTTCTCTCAAGTTACCTCTTCGATTATCCCTACTAAAATTCACTCAAGTAAGTATTTATCACCACTCTCATTCTCTCAACGAGCTCACGCTCTTTTTCTCTTCTAAGTTCTTATCTCATCAAGCATTCCACTTTACACAAGTTTCTCTTTATAGTCACAAGTTTTAAGCTTCATATGCTATTCTATCAAGCTCATCCTCACATGCTACAGTTCCACTGTTCACACTCGTCTTATTCTAGTGTGCAATCATACCCTTTTGTCTTTATCTCAATTCTCTACACTTCTCTCGTTCTCAACTGACTCTGCAATGGCTCGCACCGCGATAACCGTCGCCCTCCCACCATGCCTCTCATGGCAACAGGGACAGGACTGTCAGATTAGGCCGAGAACTACGGCGAGATGCGTGCAGACAGTCTCCAATGCGCAGCTCGGCTCACATGCTTTTGATGATTCAGGAGAGGGTTGGAGGAATACATTTTTGCGAAACCAGACACTATTGGTGGTAACCAGGCCATTCAAGACGCCAATCACAGGAGCCTATCGTAGAACTGACACCTAAACAAACACCACGGTCCGGTACTGACGCCTATCAGTCACACGAACCGAGACTTACTCGCTACAGAGTCATTCGAAAAGTTCTGGCGATCATGACGAGCCGTCACCGTGACATGCGGCAGCACCTGACTTCCCCACTATGCCTCCTATCCTTTGCCACGTGGCATCCACGTGTCGTGCGTGTCTTCCGTCTATGTTCTCGGCAGCAGCAGTCGGCTCGCCTCCAAACCGTAATTGAGAAATCGACTTCGACTGGCTGAGTAACGAGAACCAAATCGCCCTGACGCGATTCGCCGTGGTGCAGCACAACGCCGCCAAGGTGAGCCTCGCCTCGCCTCGCCTCGCCTTGATTCAGTCCGAGTGGCAGAGAACTCTCTTGGAACAAGTGTCGTACTCTCGCCTCGAGAGTCCCGATCCAGTGTTGTACTCTTCAAGCTCATGCTAACTCACCACGGCGCAGCAGAACGAGGCCATGACGAGGTAGGCTCCGGATGACGGGCGACGAGCGACATGCGACGGATGACCGGCGACGGGCGACACTCCACGTTTCAAGAGAACTTTGCTGCTTTGCTTCTCGACCCCACTGCCTCGTATTCTCTCTACCACATTCTCACTGTAGCACAGTCACTCCCTTCCCTTCATTCTTCAACGCTTCCCTTTTTCTTCTCCCCGTCTCCCCTTCCCCCTTCTCCCCTTCTCTCCTTCTATTTTCCCCTCCCCCCCGTCTCCCCTACTCCCCTTGTCTTCTCCCCTTCTTCCCTTCTTCCCCTCCTTCTTCCCTTTTCCCCATCTCTCGCCTCTCCACATCAGAACGACAGCCTACAGCCAGTCGGAGTTCTCTATGTGGAGCGCGCAGACATTGCCAGCACAGGCAGTGGCAGCGTAGGCAATGGCAGCGCAGGCAACTCAAGCGCAGGCGGGGAGGAGTACGGCGTGTCACTGGCGGCTCTCAGCCTGCTGCGCACAGCCTTATTCGACGCCCTCCTCTCCCGCCGCCCTCTCTCTCGTGGCCGCGCAATCCGCGCTCCCTGCTGCTGCCCCCCCACCAGCAGCAGCAGCAGCAACTGCACCCACCCCAGTGGCAGCGTCTTGTCGCAGCAGCAGCAGTAGGAGGAGGAGAGGGAGGATCAGCAGCAGCTGCACGAGGGGAGGGATGGGAGTAGCAGGTAGGGTGGGGGCATGCGAGCACGCGGGAGGAGCAGGATGCGGCGCTAAGGCACGTGGTGCCGGTGATCCCCCTTCCGTGTGGCCACCTGTTGACTTTCGTTGACTCCTCAGATGTGGACGTGCAGCGCGTGGCACAAGAGGCGGTGGCGAGTGCGAATAAGAGACAGGTGAGCTGCGTTGCTATTAGTCCCAGTCAATCTGGGATGGGATCAACTCTGTCCTTCACCAGTTTGCACTTTATTCTCTTCACTCAGATCCATGATAAGACCCATGCTTAGTCCCATGCTCAGTCCCATGCTCAGTCCCACGCTCAGTCCCATGCTCAGTCCCATGCTCGGTCCCATGATGCTCAAATCCATGCTCAGACCCATGCTCAGACCCAGTAACACTGTCTGCTTCCTTCCTCGCCCTCTCTCCAACCCTTTCCCCCCTGCAAGGCAGCGCACTGCTGCTAATGTCGGTGGTGGACGCACAGGTGGTCGTGCTGGCATACAGAACAGAGAGTAACCCAAATTTACTCAAGGCCTATCCCAAGACTCAACCACTCTCCTTCCCTCCCCTCCTTCCCTCCCCTCCATACACAGGGAAGCGCGCTCCTGCTGATTTCGGTGGTGGAGGCACAAGTGTTGGTGCCGTCATACAGATCCAGAGAGTACAATTTCACATTGCTGTCAGCAGATGAGGGCACCGGCATGGCAGCTCATTATGCCACGCACGCACTGGATAACAGCAGCGGCGCCACGCCTGATACTTCACAAGGAAGGGAACGCGAGCGGGAGGGGTTAGGTGAATGTGATGGCGTTTGCAGTGGTGGCGGGGACGCAGCGGAATGCAACAGCGGGGGAGATGGGCGTGGCGGTAGCAAGGGGGTGTGCCGGGAGGAATGCGAGCAGCAGCAGCGCTGGGTGTGTGTGAATGAGGGGTGGGTGCTCATCCTAATGTGACTCTGCTGGATGTGCTTGCAGCGAGGGCGAATGTGGTGGAGGGGGCAGGGATCGACAACAGTGTGATTGTAACAGCAGCAGCGGTGCATGCAGCACCTGCAGCAATGGCACCTGCAGCACTGCTGGCTGCGCATGGAACCCAAGCCAAGGCAGCAGGCGAGGGGGCAGTAGAGGAGGAAGCAAGTGGTGGTAGTGGTGTGGCAGCCGATGCCCTTCACAGCTCACCGCCTGGTTGAATTTTTTTCTCTTGGGTGCGAGAGGTGGTGAGGCGAGCGAGTGGAGAGGCAAAGGGCTCTGTGTCCTTTGACTATGCTCCCCCACTTCTCGGTCACATCCTCCTTGCTGACTGCACGGCAGTGCCTAAGGCTGGCTATTCTGTAGTTGCACTGATAAGAGTTGTAACATTGCTTCGTGTGCTTGTCTCCCTTGGCCTCACGCTGGCTCTCCTGTAGAGATGTTATCATGGGTGGGTGCCGTTTGCGTCGCTATAACACTGTCACTGTTGGAAAAGTCAATGCTTCACTTAACGTGCGTACACACACGACCCCCCCCATCTGGAGTTAAGAGTCTCATTGTTGTGGTTACACGTGTGCTTGTCTCCCTTTACAGGGGGATTAATGGGTGAACTCTCTGCGCTATGCTGGATGCCGGAAGTTTGAATACTCAAGATCTGATCGCATGCCCTCGCCATAACACGATCTGATCCCATGCCATCACCGTAACACGGTCTGACACCATGCTATCGCCATGTTACGCTGTGATCCCATACTAACTCGCCACGCCCATCTGACCTAATTGCACCGCTCTTCTCCCACCTGCTTTCATGCCTGAAAGACGATGGATCAACAATGTTATACGATACCAGACAATGGAACTGATTGCGCAGAGAAGCTGGAATGACCGATTGCCATTCCGAAGATGCATAGTACATAGACTCCAGGTTTGGAGCATTGACGAACGATCTGCTGCTGCTGCTTCTGCTGCTCCTCCTCCCTTCTTCCCCACCAAAGCACCTCCAAAACCAAGAGTCTTCCGGATCCTCCGGCCTTTCATTGTAACTAAACCCCCGAGTTCTAAGACGGTTCACACCAATGCTGAGGTGGCGCAGCTGGTTCCACTCCACACGCACGCCCTCCAGAGGCCAGCCATACCTCAATACAAGTGTCTCCACTGTAGGCGCTATGCTGTTGAGCAGATGGGTCACGGCAAGTTGGGATTCGAGATCGGAAGAGAGAAGATCATTCCACCAGTCTTCTTTGGTTGGTTGATTGTTTGGTCCGTTCAAATAGGCGGATTTGGCAGCAGCCAATGGGAGAGAAGAAACGAGAAGCTGCGAGCGGCCAAGGAGAGAGAGCGAGTCGAGAGAGAGGCGGCTGTTGCATGTGCAATCCACGACAAGTCACTTTGCAGCAGCAGAGAAGCTCTTCAAAGAGGCAAGGAGGACAAAGCGGAGGAGGAGCGTTTGTCTGTCAAAGCAGACTATGATAGATCAAGTAGCGGTGAGCTTGAAATCGAAGGTGGTAGAGCCAGAGCCACGGCGGGAGGAGGCGAGAGCGAGTTCATGCAGCTGCGGTGCGACGAATGAAAGAAAGGACATATCATTTCCGTCGCACTCGAGGATGCTCAGTTTTCTTAAAGCCCGGAACCTCGCTGGATTCAGCTTGCCTAGTTGCCACGTCCCATGGCCCAGCTTCAGCCGCTGCAGCTGCTCAAACCCCTCAAGGATGCCCGGATATATCAGCTGATTCACCTGAATAAAACCAACATCCTCTTGAGGAGTGCATATAATCATCCCGTCCTTCCTCTCAATACGATACTGCGTAACAGTCCCGGGTGGAGGCTCCTTGAGCCCAAGGCCCTGGCTTGTGAGGGAACGCGCAGAGGGGCCCAAGAGAGGGCCGAGGCAGCGCAGGTCACGGGAGTCGCTGAGAACGAAATTGAGGGGCGCGTGGGGGGCGTGTCAAAGTTTGAAGGAAGAAAGAGGGATTGAACTAGCAAGAATGAGGATACAAATAGCAAACCCTAGAAGGATTGTACTCGCTATAGAGCACCCCACTACAGGCTAGAACAATAAGATAATATTCTGACAGGGCGTACTTGAGGAAGACAGAGAGCGCTCCCGAGGGACGTGTGGGCGCGGGGTCTAGGCGGTTGAGACGCCGCGTCATGGGCTCCAAGTCCTGCTCTCACACGGTGTGACAGAGAGATGGAGAGATATGGAGAGAGATGGAGAGAGAGATGGAGAGAAAGAGATGGAGAGAGCGAGAGATGGAGAGAGAGAGAGAGAAAGAGAGGTGGAGAGACACAGCGATGAGAGGAGCAACTTCGTGAATCAAATTAAAAGTCTCCTGAGTGTAGCTTGGCAGCGTCAATGGCTCGACATCATGCTCACACACAGCTATGGACACGAGGATGGTTGAGGAGGCTTAGCCGTGACTGGGACCGCTTCATAGCTTAGCACCCAAAGAAGAATCTTACCATGGATTATGGGAAGCAATGAGAGACTCATGGGCAGCAATGAGAGACTCACGGGGAGCAATGAGAGACTCACAGGCAGCAATGAGAGACTCACAGGCAGCAATGAGAGGCTCACGGGCAGCAATGAGATACTCACAGGGAGCAATGAGAGACTCACGGGGAGCAATGAGAGACTCACGGGCAGCAATGAGGGACTCACAGGGAGTAATGAGAGACTCACAGGTAGCAATGAGAGGCTCACGGGAAGCAATGAGATACTCACGGGCAGCAATGAGATACTCACGGGGAGCAATGAGAGACTCACGGGGAGCAATGAGAAACTCACGGGGAGCAATGAGAGACTCACAGGCAGCAATGAGAGACTCACGGGGAGCAATGAGAGACTCACGGGGAGCAATAAGAGACCCACGGGGAGCAATGAGAGACTCACGGGGAGCAATGAGAGACTCACAGGCAGCAATGAGAGACTCACGGGCAGCAATGAGAGACTCACGGGGAGCAATGAGAGACTCACGGGGAGCAATGAGAAACTCACGGGGAGCAATGAGAGACTCACAGGGAGCAATGAGAGACTCACGGGGGGCAATCAGAGACTCACGGGGAAGGAGGCAACATGGTGGAGGAGCCTCTTGCAGACCATGGCGCAGCGCAACAGAGGCCAGCAGGAGCCGAAGGTTCTCAATGCGTCGGGGGAGCCACCCCGATTCAGCAGTCTATTATTTAGACGATTCATGTCGGACGAAACGCATCCTGCATCCTTCGTGCTACTCGCCCAGCAGCAGGTGGCGGAAGATGATGTGCCATATGGGGCCGGGCAGCAGATCAACCACATCCACGCTCTGGTGGGTGGTGTAAAAAAAAAAAAAAAAAAAAGTTCTATTTTTTCAACATAAGAAAGAGAGAGAAAGAATAAGAGGTCAGTCCTCTCTCTTTCGTCCTGGGAAGGATGTGGTGCGGTGAGAAGCGAGGAGAATCTGCTGCGAATCCCGGTGTGACGCCTCTCTGTCTGCGGCATGAGTCAGTCTCACCTCGTGGTGCTTATCGGCATCAAAGGGTGCTGTGAGATTGAGAGCATCATCTCTCGCAAACACCGCATCTCCATGATGGTCTGCCATCATCAGCGCCAAGTGAACTCGGGAAGTTTCTAGAAAGCTGTCGCTCGAAATCGGGAAGTTTCTGGAAAGCACCGAGTGAAAAAAAGCACGGCCCTATACACCAATCTAGGTTTCTGACGAGGGGAACTCTTAGATGCAGTGAAGGCGAAGGTTTGTTTACGCTGGATGCATAATATGGTGGTGCTTTTGCCGCATTAGCTTTATGCGGCAACCGACGCACAAGTTCGGCGCCAGAGAGCTTCCAAACCATTACATCATTCCACTGGTTACAGGACGTTTCGCCATCGCCGAGCACACCAATTGCTGTAGTCCCAGTGCCCATTGTCGGACCAGAGCAATTGCAGCAGATCTGTTGAGCTTCGCTCCACTTGCCTAGGTTTCTTCTGTTTTCCAGTTCAGACCCGATCATCTCCGCTTGTGTCTCCCCTCACGTTGGTCGCCGTGCTACAAGTGAGGGGCAATGACAAAACACTTCGAGTGAACCACACAATGAAACGCAAATTCAGGCTTGAATTTCGTTCCGTTAAACCTTTCTCTCGCAAATCCGAATTTCGTTGGATTTTGTCGTTGGGACTCTGATACCGTTGTGGCGGAGTTCCGAGTGCGTTTGCCCCATGATCCGAGGCCTTGGATCCGTGTGCTCCAGATTCCAAAGGGCTTGGGCGCAAGAATCCGCCGCATACGACAAGGCCAACCGCTCACAATTCCGCGCCCACCTGACCGTGAAAAATGTGTTCCAACCAACCTGCCCGTGACCCTTTGTGCCAGTGATTTCATTGGTATGACATTTTTCGCCATCGTAACTCTTTGGCCGACAAGTGACGACCGCCGGTCGCATGGCTGGTTGCGACCAACTGGTCTTCTCTGCGTCGTTATATGCTTTAACTCGGTGTTTTTTTTTGCTCCAGCCTTAAAGCTGTAGCAGGTGTGTTCCTTTATACCATTGATCTTATGTGTTTTATGAATAACATGAGTACAAGTGTAGCATCCTACGTTTGCTCATTGTGTTTTATAGTCATTGATTACCAAGTGTAGGTGTTCTGCACACGTGGCCATGGCAACAGTTGTTGTCAGAGTCCCAAGGCTGCAAGAGCCAATAAGCGTCGTGTAGGGATTTTTTTTTTTTTGGCGGGAGAATCATCCAGCCAAGGGTTGGATGACCAGATCTGGACACGGGCTTCTGTGTGTGTGGTGGATGGGTATGAATGGATGTTTTCGTGCTCATTTGCTCCTTTTCATTTGCATTTCATGCTCCGCAAGCTCTTTGCGATCTTTTCATCCAGCACCTGTTAGTCCACCAGCGTAGTCTTTTAAGCCTGCTTGGCCCACTTGCAGAACATTGGCGTCCTCGACATAGTGACGTAGGTCGTATAGAGTGGTTTTTTTTTTTTTTTTTTTTTGGGTCAGCCCGGTTAGGATAACTGCAATCGCACTTGTTAGGTCGCTTATTTAGGCGCAGATCTGTGTGGTATAATATTTTGTCGGTAGAACTGTTTGTATTTGCCCGGAACAATTGTCGTAGGTCGCCCGCTCTTGTAGCCGGACATCTTTGACGCTAGGCTATTTTTATCGGAAGAAGTATTCGCTCCCAATCCATAATATTGTCGAACCCACGAAAGTTATGTAGAAGCATAAGGGTTCCGTAGATGATTATATCCCTATAATGGTAGGAACTTATTTTCGTTGTTTCGTTGTAGAGAATTAAAGCGGTAGAAGAAAATGTGACAGAGCTATACAGTACAGGACAGTCAGGCGACCCTGTATACGCAAGTTGTAGGCGCAGATATATGTAAACGCAAGTTGTAGGCGGTGTTCGAAGACCAATGTGAGAAAACTGAAACGAGAATGATGCACTAAGGAATGGAAGTGGTACAAATATGCCAACCTAGGAATGTGTACCCCATATGGGCTACCCCACTACAGCCTACACAACAATATAATTTGACACACCCCCATAGGCAAAGTGGGGGAGAACAAGGGGTCACAAGACCACTCAAGCAAAGCAAAGCCAAGCTCAGGGTGGATCACAAAGTCACCACACATTCCGAGCACAAGTTCAAGGCCAGAAAGCCAGTTCACATGCAGGAGCACATAGATATACATATAAGGCTAAACAAGCAAGAGCAAGAGTATATATATGTGACAATACAAGCAAGGTCAAGAAGTGAGCAAGTGAGGCAAGGCAGGCACAAGACCAAGCTGAGTAAAGAAGCGCTAATGATCACAAGGCGCAAGTGCCTTGGTGAAGATATCAGCAGTGTTGGCCTCAGAGGCCACGTACGCAAGACGCAACTGACCACGCTTCTGTAGCTCACGAGCAAGGAAGTAGCAAAGAACAATGTGCTTCGTTCTGTGCTCCAGGCGCTGCTCCCGAGACAAGGCCAGCATGGCCTTGTTGTCTACGTACAGCACTGGAGGAGAACGAGGCGGCTCTCCAAGGTCAGTCAACAGGTAGGTGAGCCAGCGAAGCTCCTGAGCATCCATGGCTCCTGCGTAGATAACAGCCTCACAACTAGAGCCGAGAACGGAAGACGAGCAAGTAGCCCGCCACAAAACAGAGCCGGAACCAAGGTTGAATGTGTAACCTTCTGACGACCGCTTTGTAGCCTGGTCGTCAGCCCAAGAAGCGTCTGCGTGCCCAGTGAGGACCACTGGACTCTGCCCTCCAAGCACAAGCTCCATGCCCGACGTACTGCACAAGTAGCGCAACACCCTCTTCGCTGCAGCCATGTGCTCCAGTCTATGTCTCCCACGAGCAACATAGCGTGCAAGAATGCTAAGAGGGTATGCAAGGTCAGGTGGTGTGCAGGTCATCAGGTACATGAGGCAGCCAGCAAGCTCTAGGTACGGGCCACTCGACTCTACGGACTCATCCGAAGGCAGAGCTGAGAGCAAGTGGCGAGTAGGCGAGGAGTACGTGAAGCCGCAGCGCTGAAGGACCTGCTGCACCATGTGTGACTGAGTCAGGGTAATGGTGCGGCGTGCTCTGTCCCGAGTGATCTGCAAGCCAAGGTAGCTGCGCAGTTCACCTAGGTCTGTGCACGTGTGTCTCTTGTGCAGCTCGGACTTCACGTGGGCGAGTCCAGCAGTGTCAGCAGTGGCAAACACCAAGTCGTCGACGTACACGAGGATGTAGAGCGGCGACAAAGAGGTGACGGTGCGCAGAAACAGCGATGGGTCGGCAGTAGAGGGAGCAAATCCAAGAGCCGCAAGCGTAGTCCTCAGTGTGTCGTGCCACTCACGCGGTGCCTGGCGGAGACCGTAGACTGGCCGGCGGAGGCTCCACTGGGTGCCAGGAGGAAAAGTCCCAGTGAAGCCAGACGGGCGGCGCAACCAGATCTCCTCGTGCAGGCTACCATGCAAAAAAGGAGTGCTGAAGTCAAGAGAGTGAAGCTCATAGTCACGCTGAGCGGCTATGTGCAGCAGCACCCAAAGAGTGGTCATCTTTGGGGTGGGAGAGAAGGTCTGAAAGTAGTCAACTCCCTGCCGGTGACTGAAGCCACTGGCCACGTAACGCGCCTTGAAGACAGTTGGAGAACCTGGCGGCCGCTTCACCCTGAAGATCCACATGCCACCGACGATGTTCGCCCCTCGTGGGGGAACCGCGTCAACGTAGGTGCCTGTGGACTTCCAGGAAGCCATCTCTGCGTCCATAGCTGCCTGGCACTAAGAGGAGTAGGGACCCTCTACGGCCTCCGCGTAAGAACGCGGAGTCGGGATGTCAAGTGCATCCGGGTCTCTCTGAGGGGTAAGTAGTACGGACACGAGATGAGGTGAAGCAGCAGCCAGACACTGGAACTCCTCCTGCCTTACCTCAAGAACGTCCGTGCCAAGAGCACACTCACCCTCGGTGGACGGAGGACAGGCAGACACAGACTCAGCAACAAGACTAGTAGCGTAGTCTACACAACAGCGAGCAGCAAAGTCGACGAGCTCAGCAACAAGAGCAGACGCACCAGTGGACGCAAAGGAGGGGTCAGTGACAGCAGTAGCAAGGAGACGCGTGACAGTAGGACTGGCAGCACGAAGAGAGTCCGACTGCGGGTCGGCAAGTGTAGGAAGAGAGGAATCAGGGGGAGAAGGCAAAGGGGCACGCAGAGGAGCAGTGGACGGACGTAGAGACATCCGGTGCGTGCCAGGGATAGAAGGAGGACGCGGACGGGCAGCACGAATAGGCGATGCAGGACGAGACGCACGCTCACGACGCTCAGCAAGACCTCCAGTAGGACCAGTGTAGGGAGAAGGAGCAGGCAGTGGGGAGGCCGGCGGAAACTGTGACTATGACTGGCCAGGCGGTGGACACTCTAAGGGAGGATGAAGACCAAGAACCTGCTGAAGGAGCGGAACAAAGTACGGCCGAGGCCGCGCGGCGACTCCAGACACAGCAGGGACAGCACCAGCAACCTTAGCGGCAGCACCAGCGCCAACAGCACCTCCAGCTGCAGTATCTCCAGCAGCACCAGCAGTAGTCAAACCCGCAGGTCCAGCAACTCCAGGACTCCCAGTACGAGCACCTCCAGGACCGGCGGCACCAGCACCCTCAGTAGCCAAAGAAGCTCCAGCTCCAGCAGTACGCCTCCAGCGCGGAGCAAACCACTCGCGCAGCTCCTGTGAAGAGAGTGGCTCCCGCCGAGGCGAAGCACATGGAGAAACTCCAGGCTCAGCACCGCCACACGCCACACGAGCAGGTCCAGCGGCCGCCGGCACCGCACCCCCAGGCTCAGCAGCTCCAGACGTGGCACCCTTAGGCTCAGCACCTCCAGACGTAGCACCCCCAGGCTCAGCACCCCCAGTGGCAGCACCCTCACGCTCACCACCCCAGTATGACCACCCGAAAGCCCAGCACCCCCAGGCGTAGCCCTCACACGCACAGCACCCCTAGAGTCAGCACCCCCAGGCCCAGCACCCGCAGCAGCACCAGAGTCACCAGTTACCTCGACCGGCTCGACTACGTCTACCTGGGACACACCTCAAGGGGCAGGACCCTGAGGGGGGAGGGGGTCTACCTAGGGGGGACCTGGCACAAGGAAGAGCAGTGGCGGGGGGAGGGAAGGAGTGCGGTAGGGGAAGAGGCGGTAGTAGGGGACCGACTCGTCAAACGTGACGTCCTGGGAGGACACAACACGAAGAGAGGTGGGGTGGTAGAACTGCCACCTTGGCGCGTCAGGGGGGAAGCCAAGGAAGACACAAGGAGCAGCACGAGGGGGCAGCTTGTCCGCAGACAAGTCGTGAACAAACGCCCGAGATCCCCAGTCACGGAATGTAGACGCATCGCCTACCTTCCCCGTCCACAGCAAAGCTGGGGAGGTCTCCGGCATGGAGACCCTGGGGTGAAGGTTGATCTGATGCGCCGCGTACCGAACCGCGAACGGCCATACAAAATGGGGGGCAGCCGTATGCATCATGGACGTACGGGCGACGTCCATGACCATGCCAATGCGGCGCTCAGCAATCCCATTTTGCTGTGGAGAGTCCGGAAGCGTAAAGGTCTGGCGGGTGCCTCGTGCACGACAGTAGGCTCGCAGAAGGCTAGAGGAGAACTCTCCGCCTCGGTCAGAGTGCAGACGCAGAACAGGAAAGTCCGAGCCGAAGCTCCTCTTGAGCTGGAGACAAGCAGCGCGGATTTAGTCGATCAACACCTCAGTAACATCACCCTTGTGGCGCAAGGGGAAGACTGTGGTTTAACGCGAGTAGTCGTCAACCACCAGCAGGAAGTAGAGCTCTTGACCGTGTACACGGACGCGGGCCGGGCCCCACACGTCCATGTGAAGCGTCTGCATCGGGGCCTCTGTCGGGGGAAACTGGGAGGAGTGAGGGGCAGCCCGCAGCCGCCCCTCGACACAGGGGACGCAGGAAGGTCCAGGCCCCGGAGGAAGGGGAGGGAGGGACTGGTGAAGACCAGAGACAAGGACACGGGAGGCCATGCCTCGGAGACAAGGCAGGGAGGGGTGACCAAGGCAGTGGTGCCACAGGAGAGTCTCGTGCGACAGGAGGCGACACGAGGAGGGGGCAGAATCAGGACCAGACCTGGACGCTGCAGCAAACACCTAACCCGACGCAGCTACCTGATCAGACGCAGGGACAGGAGGAGACTCAGTGGTCAGGGTGAAGAGGCTCGACCTCGGCCGCCGCGTAAACGTGGCCAGGTGCCGGCCTGTGCGAGCGTCCGAGCAGTGGGTCACCCGCTGACTCACAGGAGTAAACTGGTGAACCCCCGCATCCTGTAGGTCAGCACCACTCACCAAGTTCGTAGAGAACGAGGGGAGGTAAAGACCAGACAAGGTGCCAGAGGGGGCAGCCAGACACGGGAGGACAGTGGAGAAGTGAGAGAGGATAGGACCCCCAGAGGGGTCTGCCAAGGAGACTACAACCGGCCGACCAAGCGGCGTGAGTGTGGTGTGGTCTCGAAAGAAGAAGCGAGAAGCCCCTTAGTCAAGTGTGAACGTGGGGGAGGCCGAAGCCGACGCTGTACCTGAGAGCGCGGACTCACCAGCACCTGAGGACGCAGACACACTGGCACCTAGAGCAGCAGCCTCACTAGCACCTAGAGCAGCAGTCTCAATGCCCAGGTCGGGCGGGAAACACCGGTAACAGTCACCTTCATCACTAATAGTCACAGCATACATGGCAGCAAGAATAGCATCAAAGTCAAGATCAAAGATAGCTACACCTGCCCTAGACAACTCTCCCCAGCGGGGGATCTCAGCGGCCTCCGGGAACTGGTGACACCAAGCGTCCGTGAGGCAGCCAAACCACCGCTGGGTGGGGTGGGCACCCCCACACTGCTCACCCGCACGATCGCCGGTGCGAAGGATGTATGTGCACGGACCAAAACCCCCTTCACGCTGACGTGCTATGTACCACTCACGGAGCTGCTGAGGGGGGGGGGGGATGTCCCGAGAACGCTGCTGCTGCTGCTGGCGTTGACCACCACCGGAGCCGCTCCGCTGCAAAGTGCCACCCCGACCAGCTCCACCTCCTCCACCACCGCCTCCTCCACCTCCGCCACCACCGCCGCCTCCGCTCCCACTGCTACCGCCTCCGCCGCCTCCGCCTCCACTGCTGCCACCAACATCTCCACCCCCCCCACCACTCCCATCGCCACCCCCACTCCCTCCTCCACCTCCACCTCCACCTCCACCACCCCCGCTAGCTCTTCCCGTGCCCTTGTCCCCCTTGTCCTTGCCAGAGCAGCCTCTCCCGCTAGGGGTAGATGCCGCACCGACCGACTCAAGATCAACGAGGTCGGCCGCAGCAGCAGAGGCGACGGAGGGCAAAAGGGGGGAAGGGGAACACCCCTCAAAGATGGGGGTGCGAGGGTCACCACGAGAGGCTCCTACAATGACTTTGCTCTTCTCCGCTGCTAGGAGGGCCTTCTCTAGGAGGTCAACAGTGAGAGTGGTGGGACAGACTGAGAGGAAGTGGTCTCTGACTACACGAAGGGAGTCAGGGAGGTGGGTGACTATATAATAGAGAGTGATGTACATTGGGGGGGGGGGGGGTTCTTGGCGCAGAACTCAGCAGGAAGCGCAGCGCGGTAGCGAGTGTCACTAGTGCGGAGGTGCGTAATGAGGTCAGCAACTATGGGAAAGGCAGCAAGGTTAGGGAAGAGGTACGGTAGCATGAGGCGGCTTAGTGCAGCTGTGGCAGGGGAAGAGTAGCGCGCAACTACAGCGTCGTACAAGGTCTGAGCACTCTTGTACTGACTAAAGTGCACGCGCTCAGTGGTAGGCAGGTGGCGACGCATAGCAAGACGTGCAGAAGCATCGCGAGTGGCCCACTGGGAGCGAACAGTGGCGTCGGCATCAGTAGTAGGGGCAGGGGAGGCACCAGAGGTGAGGTCAAAGAGGGAGAGACCGTCTTCTCTATCGCACTGTAGGATATGCTGTAGGTCATCTACCCAGACGTCAAAGTCAATGGCCCGACCCTCAGCGTCAAAAGCGAGAACACTGGGGGTAGCCATGACTGCAGTAGACTAGCAGGGCTAAGTGTAGGGCAGGGGCAGTGCAGTGACAGAGGGGCTGTGCTCACCGGACAGGGCGGTTCGGGCAGCTTGGCAGCAGAGCAGCTCGGCAACACGGCGGCTCGGGCAACTCGGGCGGCTCGGCAGCAACTGCGGCCCGGCTACACCCGCGGCTCGGCTCCTCAGCTGATCAGGTGGCTCGGGCGGCACGGGCGGCTCGGGCGGCTCGGGCGGAGCGGGCGGCTCGGGCTACGTAGTGGTGCGGCAAACAGAGAGGAAGTGGCCCAGCAGAGGCGGGGCCGGGTCAGGAAGGGCGGAGTCGGGGCCGGGAAGGGCAGCGCCGGGGCCGCAGGAGTAGGCAACGAGGCCGCTGGGGCGGCGGATCAGGGCAGCGAGGATGGCGCGACACAGTCGCTAGGGCGGCACGACGTGATGGGGCCGCGAGGGCGACGCGACGGGGCCGCTAGCGCGACGCGACGGGGCCGCTAGCGCGACGCGACGGGGCCGCTAAGGCGGCGCGGTAGGGTCGAGTGTGAGTTCATTTACTTCTTAAAATAGAAGTAACACCATAATAACGTGATTGAATTAATGAACGAATTTCAACTACTTCAACTAAAAGATCGCGAAATCTCATGCTTTGTTATTCACGCAGTCCCGGATCGTATGCAAGCTCATGCTTGCATGTACTGACGATCACATACCTCTCACCAGGAGAGCGATTCCGCGTGTCTGATCGTTCCAAACGACACAAGCACAAGCGCCGGTGATGCGGGTGCTATCACAATCAGAAATACGGAGAACAATTCTAGTTATTTCAGATTAGGTACTGTCAGGCATATATGCTATAGTCCGTGTAGGCTGTAGTGGGGTAGTTCATATGGGGTACAACACTTTAGGGTTTACTACTTATACTCCTCATTCTGCTCAATGCACATCATTCCTCGTTTCTTATCATGGTATCGAGCAGGTTCCCAAGTGGGAACGCTACCTAGGGCCCACCTCGTTTTTTTTTCCTGCCCGGAGCGCGCTTCACTCCTGCCCGAGTCGCGCTCTGTGTGCCCTCCCTACCTTCGCGCCGCACTTAGTGGCCCCTCTCACGGCCCCTTACGCCGCCCTTACGGCCCCTAGCGCCGCCCTCTACGGCCCCTCGCGCTGCCTTTACGGCCCCTTACGGCCCCTCGCGCCGCCCTTACGGCCCTCGCGCGGCCCCCTTTCGGCCCCTCGCGGCGCCCTTTCGGCCCCTTACGGCCTCGTCGCCGCCCCGTTTAGGCCCCTTGCGGCCCCTCTTCGGCCCCGTCTAGGCCCCTTGCGGCCCCTCTTCGGCCCCGTCTAGGCCCCTTGCGGCCGCTCGGCAGCCCCTCTCCGACCCCGTCGCCGCCATCTGCGGCCCTGTCGCCGTCACCTGCCGCCCTGTCGCCGCCACCTGCGGCCCTGTCGCCGTCACCTGCCGCCCCGTCGCCGCCACCTGCGGCCCCGTCGCCGCCAGCTGCGGCCCCGTCGCCGCCAGCTGCGGCCCCGCCGCTACCTGCGGCCTCGTCGCCGCCACCTGCGGCCCCGTTGCCGCCAACTGCGGCCCCGTCGCCGTCACCTGCGGCCCCGTCGCCCTCCCCTAGCGGCCACGTCGCCGCCTCTACCGGCCCTGTCACCGCTCCGCTGCCCAGCGACCGAGCCGCCGAGCAGCCCAGCAGCCAAGCCGCCCACCAGCTCAGCAGCCAAGCCGCCCAGCAGCCGTGCCGCCCAGCAGCCGAGCCGCCCACCTGCCGAGCAACCGAGCCGCCCAGCAGCAGAGCCATCGAGACGCCGAGCCGCCCAGCAGCCAAGCCGCCCTGCAGCCGAGCCGCCGAGCCGCCCAGCAGCCGAGCCGCCCAGCAGCCGAGCCGCCCTGCCACCGAGCCGCCAAGCCCCGAGCCGCCCTACTGTCAAGCCGCTGCTGTTCCTACCGGTGCACCCCGGCCCTCCTTCCTCGGACTGGTGAGCTCACTCCCTACTAGGCCACTGCAGTCATGGCTACCCCCAATGTCCTTAATTTTGATGCTGAGGGCCGTGCCGTTGACTTTAAGGTCTAGGTCGATGACCTCCAGCCGTTTCTCCAGTGCAATAGGGCAGACGGACTCTCTCTGTTCGATCTCACCTCTGGTGTCTCTCATGCCCCGCCTGCTACTGCTTACAGCACTGTTCGCTCACAGTGGGCCACACGTGATACTGCTACTCGCCTCGTTGTTGCACAGGATCTGGCTATGATGTGGGCGTTCTGCCATCAGCACGGCATGAGAAACCCGCGGTGCAATTACGAGAGGCATCCATATGTGCAGATGAGCCCCTTGTGCAACCACCCGCTGTTCCAAAAGTGGGCGTACCTGGTCGCTATCTCTCACTTCCAGGGCGAGAAGCTTCGTGCAACCGGCCAAACCACCGCCAAAGCAGTAAGTGCCTGCTATTAGTGGTAGAGAGAGGGAGTTATTCATTCATGCTGAGTTCTGCCGTGTTGGTTTCTGCAGGACGCTATCTTTCGCATGACCGCAGATGAGAAGATGCAGAAGATGCACCTCACCGCCAATATGCTCAGGGAGGAGCTTGGGATTTTGAGAGGACGTGAAATGCAGTTGGCGATGGAGAACGCTGAACTGAGGGAGAAACTCGCCGCTGAGCGAGAGGACAAGGCTCGGGTCATTGCAGAGTTCGAAGCATACAAGAGGTCTGTTGCGGCCAGGGATGTCGCGGCAAACATCTGTGCAGAGATCGACGGATCGTCGAAGAGCGCGGGAACAGGAGCAAACCAAGCAACGGACGCATCCAAAGCACCAGTTGCTGTGGAAGAATTCTTCGTCGTGGTCGTTGTGTCTTGGCGCGAAGCCACCACTATTGCTGCTGCCTGGAAAGTGTGGGTGCAGCCAAGCCTCATCATGGGCAACAGGTCACTGCACGAAGTCTTTGCAGAGTTTGACTAGTATAAGAAGAAGGACAAGAACTCCAGCTTCATCACCGCATATTCCCGGCTCGCTGACAAAGGTACGCCTGGGATGGCTATGGGTGCATGCGAGCAAAAGATGCGTCGCGTGCATCGTGTCATGGTTTCCGTGGAGACGCTAAGAAAAAACAGCTCCGAGGCAGCAACCGCAACGGCCATTAAGCTGCTGGACGAGGTTTTACTCGTGTGCAACTTCACAGAATTCACCAACGGCCTGGCGGTGCTGCATGAGACTCCGCCCATCAAGAAACAAAAGACCGGTTCGTCGACGGAAAAGAGGACCGTCAACGACTTGGCGCAACGCAGAGTGGGCTGGCTGTTAGTCAAGAAGGGCATTCGCGACCAGGAGTGGGCAACTTCGCTGTTTGGGGATGATGAGTGGGAGGAGATCCACAAGGAACACATGGCGCAGGAGAAGGCGGAAGAGGAGAAACAACGAACCGCTGCGGCGAAGAAGGCGGGACGGGAAAAGGCGAAGGGCGAAGCATCGAAACGCTAGGAGCAGAAATGAGGGGGCATGTACCTTAAGGGTGGGGCGGTTTAGTTATTTGGGTACTTTATTCCGGTTGTACTGAATATGCAGTACAGGCACTTGTATGTCTCTGTAGAAGCCCAATTTGGGGCTTGTATGCCACCTTCTTCCCTGGACGCGCTGTTTTTGTAGAATGTTTTTCTGGTCTATGCATTGAAACACACATCGATGTTATATACCCGGCGAAATTGTGTATACGTTTTGGTATGCATAGGAATACCGTATACGATTCTTAACAAGGTGCTCCCTAAGACAAGATGTTATGCGATTGTTTAGCCCCATACTTCTACCTCCTCGTAGAAGCCGAGTATTAAACGTAGATTAAGTGTCGTAGAAGGCCGTCCTGCCGTCAATTATTTTATTCGGCTGGCCCTCCCTTTGATGGCGAGTTCTATCGGCTGCATTGCCAACTCCATACGCGCCCTACAAATTTCGCGAGTGTAGTGAAGGTTTGCATAGCAAAAATACATCTCTCATTGTATTGTATACAGCAACACCTATATTTATACACGGTGAAAAAAAAGGAAAGGAAAATCTATTTCTACTGCTGTACTAACAAGACCTCCAAAGAACCCGTCTGCCTCTATCACTCCTAGCCGCCAGTGCCGGTGTTCTCCTCCGTCGACGCATCCTTCGTCGCGTTCTTTTTCGCGGACAATTTCTTGGTTTTCTTCTCCTTATCCGCCCCTCTTGTGGTATCCCGGCCGCCCAACTTCTTCTGCAGGACTCCGAGGCAGACGCCCTGGTGCTGGCGAAGGCCTCTTGATGCCATGCTGCATAGGCACCAAGAGGTCACCACCTTTGCCACCACCCTCGTCATCCGCTTCGTATCCCCGGCCGCTCGCGACTCTGCCGGAAGCGCTTTCAGCAGTGCATCCGACAGGGGCAGAATCCACGCTTCCTTGTCATGCTCCTGATCCTTGACCGACCGCATCGCCTCAACCGCAACGCAAGCAACCGAGGCTGCAAGCGTCGCAAGTGCATCGAGGACGGCAGAGGACACATCGACCGCAGAAGATGACGAGGCAGCCGACGAGGCGGTGGCAGCAGTGGACGATCTGGCAGCAGAAGATGCTATGGCCGTAGAAGTTCCACGTGCAGCTGTTGTTGCGCCTGTCTCCCACTGGGTGTGGTCCACATTCGTGGATGCGGCCCACATTACAGACAACGTGGCGGCAAGTCCGACTGCATGTTCTTCTGTCGAATAGCCGTTTTCACCCTCCACGCCTCCCACCATATTCTGCCACGCAGTTATTCCGACACCAGCGCAGGAAGCTACCTGAAAGCCACCCCCCTGCTACTGCCGAAGAGCCGTGTTGGTTTGAACGAGTGAGAATCTGCACAAGACACCAGTGTCGCAAGATCAGAACCATCAAACTTCGCGGGTGTGATTCCTCGTGCGCCTCTGATTCCTTGTGAGGTTTGTACATCACATAAACATTCACCCGTCCGGTTTGTCCAGGTGGAGTTCGTTGATGACGCTCCACACCCTTGTTGGAAGCCACGTTGTGAAGTCGAGGTCTTCCCGCCACTTGTTAATACAGTTTGGATTCATGTCGTATGCCTGCATGTCAATATCCGGGAAGTAGAAATTCCAGCAGACTGCGACCGTGTATGCCCTCTCCCACACCGTTTTGTGAGAGCCGAGGTTCCGCTTTCGGCCGCCGACGGTCTGCTCAGACGTCCACTTCTGCAAAGCTCCCTCGCCCCGTTGAGAGAACCCGCTTTCCCTGAACGGCAGGCAGACACCCAAAGTCTTACCCTTGTCGTCCACTACGGCGTTTTTCCTGTTGTCACCCTTGTCGATCTTCATCCCTTTCTTTTCCCCTGGGATTATCGATATCAACTCTTGTATACCAGCTGCACACGGTCTCTTAGCCGCATGACCCTCCGACTCCCTGTCCTCCTGTCTAGGCCGCCTCCTGGACACCTCTACGTTCTGTCCGGGAACAATAGCCACGCCCTCTGCTACATTCGCCTCCCCGCTCTCAATCAACAGCAAACTCCCCAGGCCCTCAGCTATTTCCTCCTCGACTCCCTTCCAGGTCCCCTCCCCATGCATGGTCAAATCCTCCTCTTCCATCTCCCTTGCCAATTGTTCCGTCTCTTCAGCCATCGCCTTTGCCTTTGCCTCCAGTTGCCGCTGCTGTTCCACGTAGGATGGAAGTCTGGCCCTCTTCTCTGCTCGGCACTGCTCCGCCTTCTACAGGCGCTCCATCTCCTGCTGTTTTGCCCTCTGCCGTCGCTCGGCCTCCTCTGCCTCCTTTTTCTGCGCCTCCTCCTTCTGCAGGCGCTCCATCTCCTGCTGTTTTGCCCGCTGCTGTTGTCGGCCTCCTCTGCCTCCTTTTTCTGCGCCTCCTCCTTCTGCAGGCGCTCCATCTCTTGCTGTTTCATCCGCTGCTGTCGCTCGGCCTCCTCTGCCTCCTTCTTCTGCGCCTCCTCCTTCTGCAGGCGGTCCAATTCCTGCTGTTTCGCCCTCTGACGCCGCTCTACCTCCTCTGCATCCTTCCTCTGCCTCTCCTCCTTCTGCAGGCGCGCCATCTCCTGCTGTTTTTCCCTCTCCTACCTCTCGGCCTCCTCTGCATCTTTCCGCTGCGCCTCTTCCTTCTGCAGGCGCGCCATCTCCTGCTGTTTCTCCCTCTCCACCCGCTCAGCTTCCTCTGCCTCCTTCCTCTGCGCCTCCTCATTTTGCTGGTGCTCCTTCTCCTGTTGTTTCTCCCTTTCCTCCCGATTGTCCTTCTCAGCCTCCTTCCTCTGTGCATCCTCCTTCCGTCGCCGATCTCCCTCCGTTGCCTTCCTACCCTGCTCCTCCTTTTGCCGCCGCTCTGCGTCCAATCTCAGAACTACTGACAGCCGCTTTTCCACCTCACTTAGCCTCCCCTCCTTCCACCCCTTCATCCCCGTCTTCATCTCCTTCATAGCCTCCATCACCTCCTTCATTCCCGCCTCCACCTCCTTCTGCCATCGCTCTTCCTCCTGATGTTTCTTCTTCCTCCGCCGCTTTGTGGCCTCTACATCCTTCCTCTTCTCCTCCTCCTCCTTCCGCCATTGCTCGTCCAGTTGTTTCTTCTTCTGTCTCTCCTCGTCATCCGCCACTTGTTTCCTCTTCGCGTCCTGCTGTTGTCGCCGCTCCGCGTCCTCTTGCCTCGCCTTCTTTTGCCGCTCGGATTCTTCTCTCAAAACCGCGCTCAACCTCCCCACAATCTGGTTTACTATCCCATCCTTCATCTCCTTCATTTCTGCCTTCATCTCCTTCATTTCTGCCTTCATCTCCTTCATCATCGCCTCCTTCATCTCCTTCATTCCCTCTCTCATCTCCTTCTGCCTCCACTCCTTGTCCTGCAGTCCATCCCTATTCTGCCGCTCAGAGTCTTCTCTCAGAACCTCTCTCAACCTCTCTTCCACCCCCTTTAACATGCCCTCCGCCATCCCCCCTCCCGACTGGCGAACCTGATCACTAACCCTTACGATACTCTCCTGCAAGTTGGAGAGTCTCGTGTCCACCTGCTTGTGAAACCTGGCCGCCGTTTCAGCTTGGCGCCGCCGTTCCTCGTTTCCATCGCGGACTTCCTCCAGGTTGGCCAGGGCGTCGCGCCAGTAATGGACGGTCAGATCGGCCACGTCGCGACTGATGCTGCTGTTGCAGGCCGCCAAGTTGCAGAACGTCTGCGTCACCATTCGGGCTAAGAGCGTCAGACAACGCGTTACCTCTGCCGGGCTTATGTCCCAGCTTTCGGCCTCGACGAACCTGTCACCTTGTTTGACCAGGACTCTACTCGTCCGATGCAGCATCCGCCGTATTGCCGTCTCTGCCTCGACCCACTCTACCTGCCAAAACGCTTCTGCCACCCCGCCTTAGTCGAGATTCCTCTCCACTGTTGTCTGGTGAAGGGTAGGCCGCCTCTGCCTGTTGAGATCCACTGTATCCCTAGGCGCCTCATCGTCTGCCACCCTCCATGGTCCCTCTACCCCGGTTCCTGGTCCCCGCGTCGGACTTCCTCCCAAAAATATCCGGACTGCCGGATGTACCGTATCCTCCTCATTCTGCTCCTCTTCTGTTTCCAGCGCATCTCCCTTGTAGTGCCCCACTCCAGCCTCCGGGACCACACGAACCTCCTCCATAGTATTTTGAAACTCTGTCTCTGCCATGCTCTGCGTCTCTCGGTATGCGAATACTTGCGACGTTGCCTCCTTGTCATGCTGTCCCTCTTCCTCTGCGATGATGTGCCCCTCAGCACCCGCCGTCTCCCGTCCCTCTGTCTGTATCATTTTATTCCCATCTGAACCCTCCTCTCCATCTGGCTTCCTACGTCCGTCAGCCTCAGCCTGCTTCTGCTCCTCGGCCTCTGCCATCTTATGCGCCTCACCCTCCGCCTTCTGCCGCGCCTCTACAACAACCTTCTTCCGCGCTTCTTACCGAGCCAGTTATAGCGCCTCTTCTGCAGCCTGTTTCTGCTCCTCTGCCTCCGCCTTCTGCCGCGCCACTGCGTCTGCCTTATTCCGAGCCTCTCCTTCCTTATGTGCGTCTGCCTCCTCCATATGCAGCGCCGCTGCCTTATCCTTCTACCTCGCCGCTGCCTCTGATTCCTTGTGCGCCTCTGCCTCAACCATCTTCGGCGCCGCACCCTCCTCCTTCTGCTGCGCCGCTGCCTCTGATTCCTTCTGCGCCTCTGCCTCAACCATCTTCGGCGCCGCACCCTCCTCCTTCTGCTGCACCGCTGCCTCTGATTCCTTGTGCGCCTTTGCCTCAACTATCTTCGGCACCGCACCCTCCTCCTGCTGCGCCGCTGCCTCTGATTCCTTCTGCGCCTCTGCCTCAACCATCTTCGGCGCCGCACCCTCCTCCTTCTGCTGTGCCGCTGCCTCTGATTCCTTCTGCGCCTCTGCCTCAACCATCCTGGGCGCCGCACTCTCATCCTTCTGCTGCGCTGATGCCGCTGATTCCTTGTGTGTGTCTGCCTCATCATTCTGCTGCGCCGCTGCCTCATCCTTCTGGCTCGCCGTTGCCTCTGATTCCTTCTGCGCCACTGCCTCCACCACCTGCAGCTCGACTGCCTCCGACATCAGCTCTGCTGCTGCACCCGCTTCTTTACGCGCGACTGCCTCCGCACTTTTGACCGCCTCTGCACCCACCTTCTGCTGCGCCGCAGCTTCTGCTTCCTTTGGCGTCCCGTCCTTTGCCGTAAGTGCCGCCTCTGCATCGACGAACCGATGGGCCGCATCCTCTGCATTCTGGTCCGCCTCTACCTCCGCCATCTTATGAGCCTTTGCACCCGCGTTGCTCTGCGCCTTCTTTTTCGCCTCTCCCAAATTCTCTGGCACGCCGACGTCCCCTCTCCGGGCCTCTTCATCCGCCTTCCGCTTTACGCTGGGCAAGTAAACTTACACGTATCTCCTATCCTCCTTGATATGCTGCCGCACATTACTGGCGAGCTCCTCTCCTGCCTCTCCCACGTGTGCCCTTGCAGCGGCTTGTGCCCCACGCTCCCATGCTTCACGTATGTCTTCAGTTCCCAGGAAAGAGACGGTAGAATCGGTGTCGCCATCACGGCGCCGTTGCCTCTCTTCAGCCCGTCTCCTCTTGGCTTCTGCTTCGGCCATCTGCTTATCATCAGCTGCCTTCCTCCACTGCTCCTCTGCCTGTTCGACCTGACTTGGCAGCTGTGGATCTTCTACACCCTCCTCGCCTTCATCTGCTACACTTGCCAAGTCGGTCTCAGTCCGTGCTTCGCGTTCCGGCGGCCTCCTAACCCGATCAGCAAACCTGAGCTGCCTAACTCCAGACCTAACACGCTCCTCTGCACGGGCTGACCTTGATGTCGGGTCACTCAGTAGTGCACCCCCCAGTGCAGGTCGTCGGGAATATGAAATTTCCCCTACTCTTGGATTTGCGTCCCGGTTTGCGGCAGATACGTCTCTCTGTCTCTCTACCGCTTCGGATCTGTTCTGTGCCGCCAGCTCCATGGTATTTCCGGACCGTTCCGGTGCGCTCTCCACCATTCGCTCCTCATGGGTCGTCATGACTGCATCCGCGGCGGGACGGAGCTGGACTCCTTGCAGGTCGCAGAAGGCCCTGCAGGTCGACTCCAGCATACTCCGAATTTCTTTCGCGCTGTGTTTCCCCTTCCCTAAGGCGATCATCGGCTCTGCAGTTTGAATCGCCATGACATCCCCCCATTTGTCCAGCAACTTGCTGAACAGATGGGTAACGTGCAGCCCGGAACCCACTTGCCTATGTCCCTGAACCTTGTTGATCTGCAACATGTGCGTGAAAAGGTGGTTGTCAGACACTCCCGTAACTTTCTACAAGCTTAATATCATACAACGCTTAAATAATAAAAATAGAGGCTCCTTACCCTGCCTTCCTCCAGAATCAGTTCCTCTAGGCAATCCCTCAAATCTTTCTGCACCGCTTCGGCGTGGCTGCCAGAGACCCTGCGACCTCGGCTGTATTCCACATCTAGTTGTCGGATAAGCCAGCTGCAGGGCAAGGGGGTCGCAAATAATCAATAACATGCGTCCACACAAACTGCACATCTGATTAAGGAGTGACACTTACTCGAACACCTCCTTGGCATGGTCGCTGTGGCGATGGGTTGGGATTGGAGATTTAGGGTCGAAGTGTAGCACACGCGTACGGTACTCTCCGTGGGGATGTGCTAACAAAACTTGGGGGTTCATCAGCACCATGAGACTGATTGCCGTCGAGTGAACAACAGGGACTCTGCGGTACATCGCAGTTTGGATTAGCAAGATAAGCTGGTGTCATCCACAGACATTGCGGATCCATGTAAAGAAACTCACTCTGATATCATGGGTATTAAAACCATTTGGTAGTCCAACAGCGAGCGATGTTCGCTACCACAACTAGGGACACGCGGGACGGCAGACCTCAAACGCCGATGCTCGGTAGGAGCCAGAATCTTTATGTCCCTGCGAACGCGAGGATCCCCGATCTTGTCCTTGGCAACCTCCCTACATCCAAGCTGACATGTGTCAAACATTATATATGTTGTGTTAGTTTAGGCTACAGTGGGTTAGCCAATAGGGGGTACACAATTCTAGGGTTAGGTACTTGTACTGTTTTCACTGCTAGTTCATCCATTCCTGTTCGCTTATTCCAACATGGTATAGAGCAGGTCCTTCCTAGGACCGAAATTTTCTAAGGGCCCACCACTACGTAACTACCTACCTACCTACCTACCTGTGCCCTAGGGCGCCTCGGCGTGTCACGCCCCTAGAGGCCCCCTCTTGACGGCCCCACGCTAGCCCCGTTCAGGCCCCGTCGGCCCCACGCCCGCTCTCCCTAGCGGCCCCGTTTCAGGCCCCGTCGGCCCCGCGCTAGCCCCTCTCAGGCCCCGTCGGCCCGCGCTAGCCCCGTTTCAGGCCCCGTCTGCCCCGTTTCAGGCCCCGTCGGCCCCGCGCTAGCTCTCTCAGGCCCCGTCGGTCCCGCGCTAGCCCCTCTCAGGCCCCGTCGGCCCGCGCTAGCCCCTTTTCAGGCCCCGTTGGCCCCGTTTCAGACCCCGTCGGCCCCGCGCTAGCCCCTCTCAGGCCCCGTCGACCCGCGCTAGCCCCGTTTCAGGCCCCGTCGGCCCCGTTTCAGGCCCCGTCGGCCCCGTTTCAGGCCCCGTCGGCCTCGCGCTAGCCCCTCTCAGGCCCCGTCGACCCCGCGCTAGCCCCATTCAGGCCCCGATCGGCCCCGCGCTAGCCCCGTTTCAGGCCCGATCGGCCCCGTTTCAGGCCCCGTCGGCCCCGTTTCAGGCCTCGTCGGCCCCGCGCTAGCCCCGTTCAGGCCCCGTCGGCCCCGTACTAGCCCCGTTAAGGCCCCGTTCGGCCCCGCACTAGCTCCGTTCAGGCCCCGTCGGCCCCGTTTCAGGCCCCGTCGGCCCCGTTTCAGGCCCCGTCGGCCCCTTTCTCAGGCCCCGATCGGCCCCGCGCTCGCCCATCTAGGGCCCCAACCGGCCCCGTGCCGGCCTCGTCGACCCGTGCCCACCACCTAGAGGCCCCGGGCGGCCCGTTCCCGCCGCAGCACACGTGGGAGAGCGGGCGGCCCGTCCCCGCCGTGACCCGAGCCGCGCGACCCGAGCCGCGCGCCCCGAGCCGAGCCGCGCGCCCCGAGCCGAGCCGCGCCACCCAGCCGAGCCGCGACCCGACCTGAACCGAGCCGCGCCGCCCTGCCCTACCTGGTTCGTCCTACCTGCTTCTCCTACTGCTACTGCTGCCATTTCTACTGTTCCTATGGCTAGCCCACAGGTTCTCGTGTTCGATGCTGAGGGCCGCCCTGTGAAGTTTGACACCTGGCTCGATGACCTACACCTGTACCTACAGCTCACAGCCAAGGATGACATCTCACTGTACGATCACGCCCTAGGCCATGTCACTGCCCCTGCTGCTACTGCTGACAGCACTGCTCGCTCACAGTGGCAGACTCGTGATGCGCACGCTCGCTTCGCTATTCGCAATGCCCTGCCGATAGACGAACGAGAGCACTTTGGTCAGCACAAGACTGCACAGGCAATGTACACAGCTGTAGTTGCTCGCTACTCCTCACCTGCCTCTGTCGCACTAGGCCGTCTCTCCCTCCCCTACCCGTTTCCCGACCTGGCCTCCTTTCACACAGTCGCTGACCTCATCACGCACCTCCGTACTAGTGAGGCCCGCTTCCGTGCCGCCATGCCTGCTGAGTTCTTTGCCACGCACCCCCCTCCACTCTGGCTCACTCTCTACCACCTAGTCACCCGCCTCCCTGACACACTGCGTGCTGTCAGGGACCACTTCCTAGCTCGTTGCCCCACTGAGCTCACCATTGCCCTCCTCGAGAAGGAGCTACTTGCAGCTGAGACTAGCATAGTCGCTGTAGGTGCCTCTCGTGGCGACCCTCGTACCTCGTTCTTTAAGGGGTGTTCTCCTTCCCCCCTTCTTCCCTCTGTCGCCTCTGCTGCTGCTGTCGACCTCGGTGCTGAGAAGGTCGGCACTGCGTCTGCCTCGAGCGGGCGCCGCAGCGGCAAGGGCAAAGGGGGCAAGGGTGGTGGCGGTGACGGAGGGGGAGGCGGCGGTGGGGGCGGTGGAGGCAGTGGGGGTGGTGGCTCGGCTGGAGGGGCGAGTGGTAGCGGTGGGGGTGGTGGCGGCAGCGGCGGGGGCGGTGGCAGGAGTGGAGACGGCGGTTGGGGTGGCGGTGGACGAGGCGGCGGCAGGGAATGGGGTGGTTGAGGAGGTGGCAGCGGTGGTGGTGGCCGTGGAGGCACTGGCGGTAGCCAGTGCCAGCAGCACACTCCTTCGCCCCAGGAGGTCCGTGAGTGGTACTCTCAGCACGGGGGTGGGGGTGGTCTTAGCTGCACGTACGTCATTCGCACTGGTGACCGCACTGGTCAGCAGTGTGGACGACAGCATGCCACACAGCGCTGCTTCTCTCGTCTCGACGACGCTTGGCGTGTTTAGTTCCCTCAGGCCACTAAGCTGCCCCGCTGGCTTGATCTCCTGAAGAAGGGGATTGATATCTATGCTCTAGACTTTGATGCTATCCTATCTGCAATGTATGCTATGTCTACTTGTGGAGAGGGTGCTGAGTACTTGTATGTGCCGCCCGACCCGGGCATTAGGGCCAGTGCGTCTGCCGCTCCAGGTACTCGCGTGTCGGCTACCCCAGGTGCTGGTGAGGCTGCTGCTTTAGGTGCTCGTGTGTCTCCCCCCCTTGGTACTGCGTCGACTACCGCACTGCACACCTTCACACTGGACTCAGGTGCTTCTCGCTGCTTCTTTCGTGACCGCACTGCCCTTGAGCCGCTTGCTCGGCCAGTTGCTGTCTCCCTTGCTGACCCCTCTGGGGGTCCGGTCATTGCGATCTCTTCCACTGTCCTTCCCTGCCCTGCGGTCCCGTCGGGCACACTGTCAGGTCTCCACCTCCCCTCGTTCTCTACGAACTTGGTGGCAGGATGTGCGCTCCAGGACGGGGGTGTTCACCAGTTCACCCCTGCCTGCGAGCGCGTGACACACTGCACGTGTGCTCGTACGGGCCGTCACTTGGCTACCTTCACTTGGCAGCCGGGGTCGGACCTGTACACACTGACTACTGAGTCCCCTCAGGTTGCTTTGTCTGCGTCCGCGTCCGCGTCAGGTCAGCTGTCTGCCCCTTGCTCGTGTCGCTCTTTGGCACACGAGACTGTCCTCTGGCACCACCGCCTTGGCCACCCGTCTGTGCAGCGGCTTCGTGCCATGCACTCCCGGTACCTTGTCTTTGGCCTGCCCAGGGTCCTTCCTGCCCTCCCACCCTCGCCTGCTCCTACTTGTCTCCCCTGTGTCGAGGGATGGCAGCGCGCCGCTCCTCACTCCTCCTCGTTCTCCCCGACGACTGCTCCCTTGCAGACGCTCCACATGGACGTGTGGGGCCCAGCCCGCGTCCGTGGTCAGGATCAGGAGAGGTACTTCCTGATAGTTGTTGACGACTACTCGCGCTACACCTCGGTCTTCCCCTTGCGCACCAAGGGTGCGGTCCCTGATGTCTTGATCCCTTGGATCCGCAGAGCCCGTCTCCAGCTCAGCGAGCGTTTCCACTCGGACTTTCCTGTCCTACGCTTGCACTCTGACAGAGGTGGTGAGTTCTCCTCCGACCTCTTGGCAGCCTACTGTGCTGAGCACGGCATTGAGCAGTCGTTCACGCTTCCGGCTTCTCCACAGCAGAATGGGGTTGAGGAGCGCCGCATTGACCTGGTCATGGAGGTCGCCCGTACCTCCTTGATCCATGCGCCTGCCCCCCACTTTCTGTGGCCGTTTGCGGTCCGGTACGCTGCGCATCAGCTCAACCTCTGGCCCCATGTCTCCTTGGCGGAGACCTCGCCCACGCTGCTGTGGACGGGGGAGGTTGGCGATGCGTCGCGTTTCCGGGTCTGGGGGTCTCGAGCTTTTGTCCGCGATACGTCTGCGGACAAGCTCTCCTCCCGTGCTGTTCCTTGCGTCTTCCTCGGCTTTGTCGCGGACGCGTCTGGTTGGCAGTTTTACCACGCCACCTCGCGCCGAGTCTTGCCCTCTCAGGACGTCACCTTTTGACGAGTCCGTCCCCTACTACCGCCTCTTCCCCTACCGCACTGCCCCGCTCC